TTCAATGACAGGAACACTAACTTCCTCGGATGGTATCGATGAATGCACCGCAAAAAGAACACCACCGCCGATTCTGCCCTTGCGGTCACTCCTGTATATTTGATATTCATTTGGAAGAATTTCGGAATTAAAAATTCGAGGTTTGAGCCATGTTTCGGTCAAGGAAATAATATTATGATTGCAGTCAAAACCTTTTAAATATAAGTCAGTTAATTTGGTATTCAAACCTCTAACGTTTTGATAGTAAATACTTAAGTTAGACTTACGTGTTATTTTTTTGACTACGAATTAAGATTAGAAAGTTTAGCGACCTTGTTATTACTTTTATTAGGTTTATACTCAAACTCGCGAACAAAAGCTCCGGTCGGCCAAAATGAACTATTTAGTATTGAATCAAAATCTTCGGCAGCTACATCAATTTTAAAAGATGAAATATCGCGATGGTATTTAAAATTAAATTTACGAATAAATACATCTTTAGTTCTAATTTTAGTCGATATGTATGACTTTATATCATCCGAAGATCTTCTCGGAGGAATTACAACCAACTTTTTGGTAATGATGTTTGATATTCGGGGTTCCGAATCATTCGGAGGAACTAAGTTAGACAGTGCAGCTTCAAATGTTGATGGCAACACTGTTAAATCAACGGTTTGTTTGACGTTATTATTTTTAAATGCAGACCTAGTGGATATGGCTTTAGACAGCGGAGGCTCCAATGCCTGAGGGCATGGAGAAGAAAGATTAATAAGTTCCAAGGACTGGGATGGAGGATTTTTCTGACTAGAGTCAGTGACTATCTTTTAAAGTGGACTAATAACATGCCTACCTTTATTTTCTCGCTATCCTCAGAGTGTGGAGGGTTGTAGAGACATGTGAAAGACTTAAACATTTTTCGTAATGCTTAATTTCTCAACAAGAACCAACAGATCCTTCCCGATCTCAAAAAAACATTTCTGGACTGCCTAAAGAATTTAAATAAATTAACTTCGGTTGATCTACATTTTTTGACAAGACCCTTTCCTTCATTAATAGCGTCTAACACCCTACCGCTCAAACCAGCACATTTTATATGGGCAATCCCATCTCAGAGCCAGCACGACGCTTTTAACGTGGCAATTGGTGTAAATACACATGTTTAAAATGATATTTATTTATAGGTTTTAGAAGCAAAAAAGCAAAACAGTTTTGAAAACGATGTATCAATTAGAGAACCAATCAGCTGGTAAAACCGGTTTGAAAGCTATGTAGCGAACAGTTTTAAATACACTGTATATTTGACACCTAATAAACACAACGCAAACAGGTGTGACAAAGATGAAACAGCAGAAATTACAAAAAGACAAAAACAGTAAAATCAATGTGCACAAACAAAAACAATATACTATATAAAACAAAACACTCGGCACATGCAATTAAGAATATCAAGTTAATTTAATCAAATTTACAGGAAATTTTCATATTTTACTTATCTTTAAATTCTGCGCCAGACGTTTATTCACACTTTTTTTAATTTTTTACTTTATTAAGCGTAAACAGCTTTATAAAACACACAATTTAAACAAAGCATAAAAAAGCACAGCTTCACAGCTTTGACGTTTGCGTTAATTTTTCTAACAATTTTTTATCAAACCACGTGTTAAAGCACTGATTAATTCATTCAGACTGAATAAATGTAACTTATCACTGGTTATGCTAAAGTTAGCAAAACGAAAGACGATAAGCGATAAAAAAATATTTTGATGCGACGAAATGCTAATAAATTTTGATAATTTGCATAACTTATCACTTAACCGCTAAAATCTTTTCGCTAAGCATTTAAAATTTTGGTGCAACGCTTATTCATGATTTTGATTGATATTTTACTTATCAATACTAATTTCACCGACTTTTCCTTATCATGTTGGTGAAACAAAAAACTTCGCGCAAGTTCGACAACTTGCTAAAATGCTACTGATAATTCGTTGGTGCAATAGGGCCCGAGTGTCGGCAACCTGCGGCTCGCGAGCCGCATGTGGCTCTTTCGGTGTAAAGGTCCGGCACTGCAGTGCCATACGCAACAATTAGTTATTTTATTATCAAAACTCTCAAAAAATATGCTATCGATCCACAAATGAGTACCATGTGAAGCGAAATCTTTATACAAACGCTGGAAAATTGTAAAATACACGCAAATAAATACGGACGCTACACAAAAGTTGCAGATATCGAAAATCTTGTGCGAAAATGCCCACAAGGCAATGGAATCGAGTTAGATAAAATCGTTTTCATAGCAAATTTTGGAGCCAGAAACATGGCCGGAATACATAGAGGGGTACCATCGATTCTTCAAATCTACGATGAAATTCTAAAATTTCGCTGCATAGAAATAGTTGAAATCATCAACGTGCTGATAAAATAGCATTGTTAACAGAATCTAGGCAAAGTCACTCTATCGGCTCCAGTTTAAATATTTCCTTGAATAAATATTCTGAATTATATCTGCACAATAAAGTGCGACGGATTTCTAGAGGAAAAATGCATTGGCTACCTCGAATTGGACTGGTTACAGAAATTCAAGTTCATCATCATCAACTTCAGATATCATAACGAAACTAATAGCGTTTTCTTTTCTCAAAATAATGTTGCATTTATTCTGCCCTGCGCCAGGGCTGTCAAGTTTTCGTGTTCTTTTCTGAGCATCTTCGCAGGCATATTGCGTAATGATCTGATAATGTTGCCATATAAGATGACTTTTTTTCGAGAAAAGAAAACGCCATAAATGAGCTGAATCTAAACCTGGAAGAACAGGGAAGCCCAGCTTATGCCTTGTTGGACGAAGTTGTTTGTGTATTATTAATTGAATTTTTCTCGCGGTTACGGACGCGACAAATTTCAAACACAAATAAAATTTTATATCCGATTTGTCGGGGGTGAATGGTGTTATTTTTTTAAACAAGTTAATAATCTCGCTTTAAAACCGGCAATAGGAAAACGTGTCGCCCTCGGCAACAAATTTTCTGCCGGTAATATAGCCATTGTCTTGATTTCTTATTACCAGTCGCTCAAAAGGTCCGCCGAAGGCAACTCGCATGGGCGAGTAGTTTTCTATTCTCTGAATAAGTCGTTTTCTTATCGCTTTATTATTATATTTGGAATAATTTTATTATCTTTAATATTTTATTTATTTCTTGTATACAAAATTGAAACTTAAAAAATAAATTCATTATTTCTTTCGCTATAGGGCTTCCTATTTTCTCGATCCTATCTTTGGCATAAATTAGATGCTTTGGATAATACTCTTGACGCGAAATTCATCAGTTTGGGATTTTTTGATAACTTATTTAACGCATGCGGAATGAAATACGAACTGATGCAGGAAAAAGAAACAGCACTACTTTCGGATGCAACAAATATTGTTTTCCACTCACATATATATTGTCGAAATTTCCAAAAGAAAAATTTTTATAGAAAAGACTCATGTCCATAACGATTGGCCTGTTTAAGTTTTCAGGTATAGTGCGAAGGGCTTTTTTAAAAGTATTATTTTGCGAATTTATTCTGCCAATTTGAGTATTTAGTTTTTTAGCCATTTATACGATAAACAGCTCAGAGTTATATTTGGGTGTCCTTTTATGGGTCCCCAATGAAAAATATTTTCCTAATCCGTTGTAAAAAACTGATATGAATGCAGGCAAGCAAGTTTTGGGAAACCGCTCATAGCCGTTTTATGTAAATTCATTCGTAACAACCAAGAATATCATTGTCTTATTTAGAGTATTCAGCATATTGTATTTAATTGTGGATATAATTTAGCAAAACTCAAAGAAAAATCATATGCAACTCACCGAGGTATAGATACAAAGTATTTTAATACTGAGTCAACATTAACATCCAGATTGCGATGAATATTGAGAAAAGCTAGCCCATTGTGTGCTCGTGCCTGCACATTAGACTGCGCCTTAGTTGTATGGAGAAAATTTTTTGTTAAGCTACAAAGCAAGACTCCGCCTAGAAATGTTCCTTTGGTCATGAAAACGTGCCCTGGGAAAAAAATTTTAAATCGGGCAACGGAAGGACGTTCCCCAAAGGCCCTAAAGTTCAGCAAATTCACGTAATTTTTCACGAAGTGGTCAAAATTGCCTATAATTCAGTGGGAAATTTAATATATTTTAATGGCACTTGATGTAGTTTCCCCCCCCCGATGTCACATATGACTAACCTATTTTTAAACCTCCCCAACTTTTAAAGTTATTGACGTTTTTTCCACGTAAGATTAGAATTTTCTAGGAATTCAGAAGTTAAATTTTAGCCAAGTAAATTGAGATCAAATTGGTACGATGAAAAAAATATGTAGTAGCGAAATTTTGAGGCAGTTTACTTCTATTTGCACATAGATCATGGATCCACATTCTCGCCCTTAAATTTCATACCGGAACATTCCGCCATCTTGGATTTTAGGTTTTTTTTTTGGGATTTTTGCAAGCTTATTTTGCATTTTTCGTAAAAGACGGTCGTGCACAAATTTGTAGAGAATTTAATTTTCTACATTTTTTTTATACGAACTTTACAAAAAAAAAATATTTTTTATTGTAAATAATTAGCAAAAAGTTCGAAAAAATTTTGCATTTCAATGCGTAGTATATTCAAATGTTGTAGGGAAGTTTCTCTTTCAATGTTGGGTTCTCCGGTGGCACAAAATTTGTAAAGCAAAATCTAATTTACGGTTAGTTTAGATGCCATATTTGAATTTTTGCTCATTTTTTATGTTTAACACAGCCCAACAAAAATATAAAAAAAATTTTGGTACGGCTAATGTTAAAGCGGTTTTTGATAGATTTTTTAGTGCAGATTACGAATCCGTAAGCATAAAGTTTCCATCAGCTCCAGACTTTGAAAAAAACAAGGTCAAAGTGTTAAAAAATTGCGGTTTAAACCACATCATTGTTATGTATGTGCATCCACCAAAACTAATGTTGGTCTTTAAGTTTTAATTTATAATTGATTCAGATTATACTTGCCTTCTGTAATACCGAGCCTTGATTCGATTTCGCGCAACTTTTCTTCGAATTTGGAAGCATCAGCTACAGCCATATGAAATATTGTAGACGTAACGTTTTTACCCTTGATTATAGCACCCTCATGTAATATAATAGTCACCATCTCCATTTCTGGGCGTATAATAAGTTCCTTTACTTCACCAGTGGCTAACATATGATGTACAAATTCATTCCAAGAAACATATCTTGTTGAACCCTTAAATTCAAGAATATAGTTTTGTATTTAATAAAAATTAAAAATGTACTGCATTTCTTAAAAGTGCACTAAAAATAAAAATATATATATATGTATTTGTAGAAAATTATATGAATCTCTACAATTCTTCTAGTCGTTTTTAAATTTATACCGTATAGTTTGAGTCATTTTTTTCTAATCCTTAACTCATTTTACTTAGATATTTTTCCGTTTCTCAAGTTGTCCTCCCATAATCGATTTTTCGGAAGTGCTCGCAAAACTGCATTTTGAATTTTCGCGAATAATAATTTTCATTCCCATTCCCAATATTATGCTCTTAAATTAAAGTCAGAAACTATTAGATTTTCAAAATTTCCGTTGAAATCTTCTAGTTTGACGCTATACTTACCCGTCTAAGAGAGTATGGCGTAGTTCAATAAAGACCCCTGTGTTGTGCAAACTGACGCTAATTGGATATGGCAAGTGAAGTCAAGTCCTTCTCCGCCTGGTCAACAGTGGGCCGAGTATCGAGACCCAAAGGCGCTGACTGATTGTTTTTGGAGACACGAGATACTTCATCTTGTCCTCGTTTAACACCGAACCGATGTCTTCGGCACACGCCAGTAATTGTACGCTCTTGCAATAAAGTGAGCGCTTTAGTTATGTTGCTATTATATTCCCCAACATCAAATTAAATAATCATCCAATAGAAAGTCGCCCAGTCTGAAACCGTTCCCAATTCTGACGGAGCTGGTGGTGTTAGGATAGGACTTTTCCAAGATTTTGCTTATGGTGAGTTTACCAAGTCCAAGATTTTATGTAAAGACATTCGCAACAACAATAATACAATTCGCCGAGATACATATAAAAATTGCTTTAATACTGAGTCAACATTAACATCCGATTGCAATGAATATTGAGAGAAGCTAGCATATTGAGACGATCTTCTTTCATAGTTGATCTCAAATAGGTTTTTAGTTGTAAAACAGGTATGACTCGTAAGTACTTGATCAACATTTGGAAAAGCATCGGAGTTACAAATGTCCAAAGCTTCAAATGAATTTTGAATATTTATACCAGAGATGCGTTTTCTCCAAAGTTAAACATCACTTGTCCACATTTCTGGCACCGAATCATGTAAAATGGGTATACGGCCAAATCTCCGGAACCGTGCTATTCAACGCTAAAAAACGTAAAAATTTAAATTGAACGCACAAAAATTAATTATACATCAAATCCATTGAAACCCATTGAGGAAACATTAAATTATTGTGTGATTTATTTCTCTCAAATGCTTAAAGAGTTATAAGTAAAAAACGATAATTTTTGAAAACTCAATGTTAGAGATACTTCTAGAGGCGCGGTTTTTGCCCGCTGAAGTGGTTTTCGAGATACAAATATTTGATATAAGTGGGCGGGCCACGCCCAGTTACCAAAAAAATTTTCCGAAAAATTAATTTTCGCTTAAGATCCATTGAAAATATAATTTTTGAGTATATATTTAGAAATTCGTAAATCGCGCTGCCCAAAGATCTGAAAATCCTTTACATACACACCTATATATTCATGGCCGTATTTTAGAAAAAAGTTATTTTATGTATTTTGCATTTTCAACGAACTTTATGAAGAATGTTATCTAACGATCACGCTTAATGCAAACCTCTTATGTTTTAGGCTGTGAGTGTGCTATCAAAAAAGTTAGAAATTTGAAGCCATTCACACCAAGACCTATTCAGAAAATATTTGTTATATTTTCAATACTTTCAAAGGCACACAACTGTAAATGGTCTTATTTTTCTTATTATGATTTTTCATAAATACAATAAGGCCCTCCAAGGCATCTACATTCAATAATAAATGTAGAACTTATGAGCACTTAAGTAGAGATACATACAAAAAGTTTCTATACAAATTTATGACTTGCATTTTATGGAGTACACACCTTTTACTACAACTTTGAATCGCTCTATCTCAGGAATGGTAATCTTTAGGAAGAAAAGTGTTATAACGGTTTTGATAGACACTTTTGTCTCACCTATTTTTGTGATAAGTCTAACCATTTTGCTGAAAAATGCAAAAAAATTATTTATGTGAACTTTGACCTTGGATATATTTGAGATCGATGGAGACTTTTGACATTTCATTTGACGGTATTTGCAACGCTCGTACCAATTTTCAGCTTTATGCGAATTATTATAACCTTGAATGTCTAACTTGACCGGGCTCTGAATCCTCTGGAAGCCTTCCAGTCATTGCTGAAGGAAATATTTATCCAGTTTCTGCCCGTGGCTTCGATGGCCGAAGGATGGAGAGCTATAACTGGTTGCGGGCCGATGAATACCTGGTATGAGCCCAAGTGGGCAGATGCCTCATTACCAGGTACTCCCCAATAACCTGGCACCTAGAGTAAGACAAGTTCGTTCGTTCTTGCTGACCATCGAAAATCGGTAGCTTAATGGGGTCAAGCTTCATTTCTGCCAGTCTGCGAACTGAAGCCACATCTTCCTGTGCAGCCATTTGCAACCGTTGCAGTTTAGTTGACACCACTCTATAGGCTAGTTCCATTTTTGCTAACAATGCATTGTGGGCAACAAGCTCTTCGGGCTTGGCTGCGCCAACCAACACCATGTGGTTATCCATGAACCGAGTAAAGTGCGGGGAAAGCAATTCCAGCGTATGATCAATTTCAACTATGTCAGGTCCATAATTTTCAGCTTCCACTTCGCCTTTGATCCTGAGTATAGAAGATGGTGATGCTGAGCGCAAGTTAAGTTCAGCCATCGATATTTTGATATACCGTCTAACAGAAGTTCCACGTAGCGGCAAAAAAATATACGTATATATAACGGCGAATGCGTTGCTAGCTCAACAACAGTGCAAATCCCTGGAATTTACGCTCTGTTATTTTATATGCAGATGTTCGCCAGCGCTATTGGTCAAAATAAAAACTTTGACAACGGCTGGTGAATTGCACTCGAAGCGATGATCAACGGTTTCCAAAAACACGTGTGAGATCAATCCTCATAGGAGGCGCCAGAATGTTCGCGAAATAAAAGGCAGTAGCGTTACTTTACTCAGAATCTTTATTCGGTTGTACTCGTTGCTAGTGAAAAAGCAAAATCAAAAAGACCAGCAAAAAAGGATCTGTCGTTGTCAGAAAAGTTACGAGTAAACTCGATGAACTTATCGGAAGTCAGGTTATCGCCAGGCTTGCCGACTTCTATGTTGAACTCAAACAATCAATATATTCGCGAAACCATGGGACAAATATAGTAAAATTGCGTTTTTAGTTTTTCACTCTGACGTCAGTAATTTAAGAATGATTTAAAAACTTCAGAGAAATGTGCTTAGAGAAGAAGTATGGGTATAAAATTAATCCTGTAGAATTTAAACGGATTCAAGTTTCTGGTGCAGAAGGGCTGGTAAATATTGAAAATGTCATTTTAAAATTTGATCCTTGAAATTTCGCAATATTTGAATGGTCGTCCCGAATAACGTTGTAAGCGCCAATTTACTCAAAACTAGTTTTTTTCGCAGATTACCGTTAAAAATACTCTCGCAAAATTTCTCACTTTCCATCAGTTTTCGGACCTACGCTCCAAAGTAAGTAGTGAGTGGAAAAACGTTTAAAGTGCACACGTGCAATAATGGTAAAAAACGTAAAGTACATTTGGAATGATATGAAAAACAAGAGGCTAATAAATAGTAGTGAAGAATATTCAGGAAGAAATGGGAAAGGGGTATTAAAAAAAATTACCAGAAACGGTAATGGGAAAAATGTTGTAAGTGAAGGAGCTGTGTTAATATCAATTTTGGTTTTTTATTCCCCAAATTTTCAACTGCGCTTGTTCTCATCACTGATCAAGCTTCATATTGGAGACTATTCAAAAGCATTTCTCCAATTTTTATAAAATGACCTATGATGAATAATCAAGGAAACCTTATTGTTACATTTATTACATTCATTTGTCGAAAAAGGTTGTAAGCGCCACCAGCAAGGATGCTAGGCTTACTGGAAAAACGTGTTATCATCCATTAGGATTTGGATATAAAACGTTTTTCCATCATTAAAATTTTATAAATCTTTTTTTTTGACTTGAAAGATATATATGGATATACATTTTAATTCACGGGAAATCCAATGCGAGTTTGTGTGTTTATGTGACGTAGAGTCTACGTGCGTAAATATGTCAGCGCATAGAATTCAAGCGACAGGTTGGAGTCAAATCGATGTGATTTTGTTTTTGTTTTCTTAACTATTCTCGTCGCTTTGCCGGCCGCTCATATGTGTGTATGTTTGTACGTGTGTTAAGCTACAATGCAAAAACGCGACCAGGGTCTCCATGCACTCATGTAAAGAGTATCCCTTAGGTTCAAAGAGTGCCCAAAATTAACCAGTATGCATATCGTCACTTGCAAGGCAAAAAGACGTAACATCATCGTAAATGAAATGGAAAAAGTCGTGACTAATATTTTATTTATTTTTTCATAAAATGATGCGGGGAGTTGTAATTCGATGAAATTTATTATATAAATCAAAAAGTGAATTTTGAATTTTTTACTAGTTATGAATTTTGTGCATTTGAACGATGAGTTTGTTACGTCCATTTGCATTTCAGGTGACGATATAAAAATGTGGTCCAATTAACATTGCGATGTCCTAGGGCAGGACCATATACTCCAGCTCTGCATTGGAGACACGAGTTGGGCCGCTACTGCATAACAGAGGAACATTTTGTAAGTGTGTACTGCAATATAGCACAAATGGACCACATTGTGCAACGATTTTTGCAGAATGGCCAATAATCATCAATACAAGACAACAATATTTCTCCACTGGTGGTACCAATAGATCGCAGGACATCCTCGATAGCCTGATAAAACCGTAATGGTAAAGCGTGACTATTTTCCTCTGGTCTCTGCGTGTGCGATAACGAGGTCATTTGGTAGGATCGTATACGCTCAACAGCTCCTGTACGTCACATTATCATGAGTAAGATCGATTCAAGGGCTACATCTCG